AAGAAATGATTGGAGTTTCTTAAAAATAAAAAATAAAAAATAAAAAACTAATGATAATTTCTCACTTCCTTTAATTGGATGGACAATTAGTAAAAGATGATACATGTTTATTTTTTATTTTATTTATATTTAGAGGGGTAGCTTAGGTGTTGGGAAATACTATGGTATAAACCCTCAAAATGATGTATATCATATGCAAATTATGTTATTTGTGAGTTTGATTATTATAAATGGTATAACTTAATACTATAGGAGCCATAATTAAAATAAAAAAAAAAGTTATAACCAAACTTCTCATGAGGTACAACCAAATAACTCTTGTATTATAATTAAAATAATGTCATAATCAACATCACAATATGTCATAACTAATAATACATGGGTAATGCTTCGGGACACACCGTATAAAACCCTACCACAAAATTATGTAAGTTTTTACAAACTTACATACGTGATCTCACAAAAATATGTAAATTGAACACAAATTTATATAAGTTTACTTTTATGCATTTTTGTGAGAAACTTATGTAATTTTGTGATAGGATTGCATACGGTGTGCATTGCACACCAGAAAATTGTTCATAATACAATAGATCATAACTAAAGACACAAAGGGGGTATATAGCATAAAATTTCCCGTAGGTATTAAATTTTTTTTTTCTTTTGTAAAGAGTAATTTTGATTTTTAACCTAATCTTACAACTATTGGTTAGAAAGAAAACTTAAATTTGGAGTGATTTGCCTTTCTCATCATTTCTTTTCAAATTTTTTAGGGCCACCAATCATTTTCCATAATTAAAATAATGTCATAATCAACATCACAATATGTCATAACTAATAATACATGGGTAATGCTTCGGGACACACCGTATAAAACCCTACCACAAAATTATGTAAGTTTTTACAAACTTACATACGTGATCTCACAAAAATATGTAAATTGAACACAAATTTATATAAGTTTACTTTTATGCATTTTTGTGAGAAACTTATGTAATTTTGTGATAGGATTGCATACGGTGTGCATTGCATACCAGAAAATTGTTCATAATACAATAGATCATAACTAAAGACACAAAGGGGGTATATAGCATAAAATTTCCCGTAGGTATTAATTTTTTTTTTTCTTTTATAAAGAGTAATTTTGATTTTTAACCTAATCTTACAACTATTGGTTAGAAAGAAAACTTAAATTTGGAGTGATTTGCCTTGCTCATCATTTCTTTTTATTTCTGACCTTATTAATCATCAAAAAGATGAGAAAAACTCGTTTGCACAATTTCTTTTTTTTTTTTTTCTTTTCTAAGCAACTCCTTCAATCCAAACGGAGTGTGGTAAAGGATAATTTACAAATACAATCACGAAGTTTGCTTAAAATATAGATTGTTCATTGTGATTGTGAAAGCTACAAATACATCCTATTAGATTTGTCATTTAACAGAGTTAACAGGGAAAAAAATAAAATTTTTAACTATCTCCCTATATATAGTAATGAAATTATCATAATTGTTAATTAAAATGTATTATTGACATTATTAAAAATTGTTGATTGATTTAATATAGAGTTAAGTAATGGAAATGATTAATTGTTGTGTGATTAAAAATTTTAAAGAACAAAATACAATTTTAAAATTATAAAAAATAATTAATATTTTAAATAAATTTCAAAGAGTGTATTTCTAAGGTGTACAATTTTAATCATGTCTAGAGGGCTAATAGTTACTTATCTTCAATCATGTCTGATTGTTTTATTTATCTTTGATAAGTGAGAGTTTCAGTAACAAATATATATATACATATATATGCAAAAAAATTCTCAATACAAAGGCATAGAGGCAAAGCATAAAAGTTAAGGTGTCTAGCACCATGAGCCACCAAATAAAATAAAATAAAATAAACTAGACTCTAATAGAGAAACTCTCACAAACCCACAACCTTGGGTAAAGAAGATTCTCTCACAACTTGAGAGGGATAAGTGTGAACAAAGTTTTTAAAGGCCAATTTGTAATGTGTTGTATTTTATCTTTTATTGGGTGAGAGGTGAGCTTTAAAACGTTGCTGTATAAGTATTTAAATTTAAATTTTTTATATTTAGTAAATGAATAAAATAGAAAAAATATTAAAAACTAAATATATAAGTGTAAATACGTTTCTTCTCAAGTCGTCAAACATTTTATTGAAAAGAATAAAGTTGGTTTTTTTTTTTATTAATAAATCTCATTTAGCGATGTTCTAACCCAATAAGTCCACTAAGGAAAATTATAACCTAGTTAGTCTCATGTATTTATACTTTTATTTCAGGAGACCATTTTTTCTTGACTTATATTGTTTGTTGGACTATTATACCCTTATATCTATTATTGATGTATTATATAGAAAAACGATATACATATTTCCTTTTTGTTGCTACCTCTATTTTGGTAGTTAGCATTATTCATGTTTTTCTTTTTGATCAGTTTCATTCACATTTGTGGTATTGTTTCATTGTGTTAGGGTTTCGAAACTCTCTATTTGGTAGGGTTTAGAAACTTTACAGATGGTGATAAAATAATATTATGTTCCTCAATTGTTGCCATGAAACTTTGTATTTCTCCATTGTTCACTTTGTGTTTGAAATCCTGTATTCGTCCATTGTTGCTCTATGTTTTTCCATTGTTATAAGTCGAAACTCTTTTTGTGTGGGTAATCTTCCGACCACACTGCTCGCCTAGTAATCAGCTGGAGAGCACCGACAGAATAGATGGCTTCAGCAAACCTGTAACAGAAAGAAAAGGCTCCGGCGGTAGCTCTTCCACCCGGGGGCACTCCGACAATCAAGTCAGTATATCTCTCAAGGATAATCAAGTGCTAAACTCACAAGTTTAAGCATAAAACTGCGTACCTTAGACCCACGGTGGTGCCTCTCTTTTATAGTTTACTTAATCCAAGTCCCACTAGAAGCCTGACTTCTATGGACTCCAATTCAATACTGTCTTTGGACTCCTCAACAGATAAAGATAAACTCCCTAAGAGTTTTATCCTTATCTTGGCTAAGTCTTCTCTTTTCTCTAGGACTCTTGCCCCTTATCCATTTATCCGCCTATCTCGGATTCCGATATCTTCGGATATCACCTCGGCCTTGCCAAAGACAACCTCGGCATAACTACCACGACACGTGGCACCTCGGCTGACACGTCGGCGTCACCATGCCACGTGTTGGTACTCAGAAAATATATTCCCACACTTTTTCTATTCAGTCAATTTTGTTATAAACATATTCTTCAAATGTGGGTTTGGTTTGATTTGGATTGGTGAAATGGTGAAATTGCATAGATTGTTAATAATAGTGATAATGATAAAGATGATGATGAAGATGAAGATGAAGATGTGGGTTATTGAGTTTTTTTTTTGGATTTCTAATTCTATTGCTGTAATTGTTTGTATTGTTTTGCCAATCAGTGTGAATGTTCACATTTCACATTATTTACATTGTTTGAAAGTCTGATAAATAAGTGTTGAAACATAAATATGGACATAATTATATATTTTACAAGATGTGAATGTTCACATATTATTGGTTATTTGTTACTATACTTGTTGTTGAACAATCATTTTTGTTACCATTAAACAATTAAAATAGTCAATTTTTTTTTTCTTTCAATTTTGTTTCATGTTGCAGTGTGAATGTTCACATTGGTATGAATTTAATTTTTCTAGGGTTAGTTGTATTTTAATTATAAATTGTGAACATTCACATTGTATTTTGGTATGTGTATATATATATATATATATTTTGGTGAAGTATTTTTGAAATTTAGTTGTATTTTGTTATTTTTTCAATCATTTTTGTTACCATTGAACAATCAAAATAGTTGATTTTTACCTTTTTCAATTTTATTTTATATTTTCACACTACAGTGTGAATGTTCACATTGATATGAGTTTATTTAAAAAAAAAAAAAAAAAACTAGTTATATATTAATTATAAATTGTGAACATTCACTTTCTATTTTGGTATAACTTTTATTTTTTTGAAAGTTAATTGTATGCTTATTGTTTTTGTTACTATACTTGTTAGTTGAACAATTATTTTTGTTACTATTAAACAATTGAAATAGTTGATTTACACTTTTTTTTAATTTTGTTTTATGTTTTCACGTTGCAGTGAAAATGTTTACATTGGTATGAGTTATTTTTTTTAAAGCTAGTTGTATGTTAATTATAAATTGTGAACATTCACATTGTATTTTAGTATGAATTTTTTTTTTCCGAAGGTTAGTTGTATGTTTGTTGTTTATTGTGAGCATTCACATTGTATTTTAGTATGTGTTTTCTTTTTTTTTAAAAGTTAGTTGTATGTTTGTTATTTATTGTGAACATTCACATTGTATTTTTATTTTCATTCAGATTTTTTGTTGTGTTATTTTTAAAATTTTCAAATTATAAAAAGGTTCAAAGTTTATAATTTGAGATTTTCTCCATAGAATGTAGGTGAGATTTTCTCATTAGAATAATAGAGAGATTTTCTCCATGGATAAGAGAAAGATTTTCTCTTTAGAATAAGAAAGAGATTTTCTCCATAAAATGAGGGATTATTGTTATGTATTAGTTTCAAAATAGAAACATATGCAAAAAAATTAGAAATGATGATTTGGTCATATTACGGACTTAATGGAATACTCAAAAAGAATATGGGTTAAATGGAATAAAAAACTTAGAAAGAGAATTTATCAAAAAATGACCCAATAAAGATTTCCCTCATCGAAGATAAAAACACAATATTAACTTCAATTATCGAATTTCTCATTTAAATCTTAGCTTTGTGATTTTCTCAGTTAGTCATTTACTTGATTTTATAAGAGAATTTTCATTTTTATATTTAAACCATGTCTTAGACTAAGATTAATAACAACCCAAGACTAGCCATATGCATACTTGTATGTTTAGAACACTAGGCATGTTTCCTTTCTATTTTACCAGTTTATCTGTATATTTACCAGTTTTAGTATGAAAAAATGCAGGGCTGTTGAAAGTAATGACGTTTCATTGAAAATTACCCACTGTGGAGTGTGTTATGCTGATGTTGTATGGACCAGGAACAAACTTGGAGACTCAGAGTACCCCCTAGTGCCTGGGTATGTATATTTTCTTTCCTGTTTCAAATTTTCCATAGATTGTCATTGCATAATCCCACACACTTCTTAAGAACTAATGTGTATGTGTGTGTATATATATATAATTGCATAACAGACATGAGATTGCTGGAATTGTTAAAGAGGTTGGTTCCAATGTTCATCACTTCAAAGTTGGAGACCATGTTGGAGTGGGAACTTATGTCAATTCATGCAGAGATTGTGAGTATTGTGGTATGGATATGGATGTCTACTGCTCCAAGGGATCTGTCCGTACATTCAACTCTGTTGATGTTGATGGCACGATCACAAAAGGCGGATTTATTTTTTTCCCTTTTCATAGAATAAGAGTTGCAAGTCAAAGATTTCTTGAGACCCCAAGCCCGACATTGAAAAGGTCTTAGGCATGAGGGTTTTTGGATAATTAGGGCTATTGATCGAAAGGAATTTTTTTTGTGATTTTTGGGTGTGCATTAGGCAAACTACTAAGTTGCCTCATAGTTGAGTCAATTCTGATAGTTAGATTTGAACTTGGGCATCACATATGGATGAGTGCCTCATCCAACAAGTGTACCCCTTGGTTTATTCATTCTCTAATTTCTCTAAAATCCAATAAAAAATGCATGTTTGGATGATGATTGAACTAGCTTCTACTTGCCTCCATATGGCTAGCATTGTTGCCCAAACACGGCACTTAATGTGTTGAATTTGAAATCCTCATTTATGATATAGGGAATTGAACTAAACATTGTGCCTATGTTGATGCTTTTAAAATTACAGGTACTGCTTTAGGATACCTAATGACTACCCATTGGCCGCAGCAGCACCACTGCTATGTGCAGGAATCACCGTTTATAGTCCAATGATGCGGCATAAAATGAACCAACCAGGTAAATCTCTTGGGGTGATTGGGCTAGGTGGCCTCGGTCACTTGGCAGTGAAATTTGGGAAAGCTTTTGGATTGAGTGTTACAGTTTTTAGCACTAGTATAACTAAGAAGGACGAAGCCCTAAACAAGCTCGGAGCAGATAAATTTGTGATCTCGTCTGATGAAGAACAGATGAAGGTAAAGACCACAAGCATTTCTCCACCCTGGATGTATTATGTTCTGTCCGCCAAGGGTCACTGATTAGCAGCAAAGTGAGAATTATAGCAATAAAGGTTTAAGTAAATTGACAATCATCATCTTAATTTCATGCAGGCCATGGTTAATTCACTCAACTTTGTCATTGACACAGCATCAGGGGATCACCCGTTTGATCCGTACATGAAGTTGTTGAAGACCGGTGGCACCCTTGTCCTAGTTGGTGTCCCAAGTGAAGTCAAGCTCAATCCTATAAGTCTCATAATGGGTATGCATTTTCATCACACAGTTCTTGAAAATTTGAAAATTGACAGAGAGAAGAAATTCCTGGCGATGAGAATTTAAACATAAAAATGTTTCTTTGATAGGTATGAAATCCATTTCCGGGAGTGCGACGGGAGGCACGAAGGAGAGGCAAGAAATGTTGGATTTCTGTGCAGCTCAGAAGATATACCCAGAAATTGAAATTATTCCTATCGAGTATATAAATGAAGCTTTAGAGCGTCTGATAAAAGGGGACGTGAAGTACCGATTTGTTATTAATATTGAGAACTCCTTGAAGTGAAACAATGGTGGGAAAATAAAAAAAAATATATATATAATAAATAAAAAACAATCAATGACTATGATGTTAATGAAGATAGAAGTGACAAGAGGATGTATGTAAATTAAATCCATACCAATGAGCAAAAGGGTGAGGCGAGCAGTGATATTCTTGATAGGTTGTGCCTACTTGCTATATGAGGCAATACTATTGGGGCGTTTGTTTTTAGAGTTGGATTGTATGATATTGTTAGTGTTTGTCAGTGAGCAGACTATTTTGTGTGATATGATTGAGTGAGGAGATTAAGAAAAATTATATTTATTTGATGATCATGGACTAATAAGTAATCTTATTTATTTTGTCATTCTATGATGTGATTAATTATATGGAATTCCATAAATATTTTTGATGTTTTTTATATATATTTGATAAAATTATATTATTATACTATTATAAAAATTATATTATTTATGTAGATGAAAATTATTTTATTTCAGTCCATCTGTAAATAGAAAAAAAACTTCCAGAAAGAACAAACTCTCAAATTTGTCCATAAGATTAATTAAATTAATTTATGTATGTAGACGACATTCTCACTGCTTTAAATTAAAGAAACACAAGAAAGAGACTATAAAATTGTTGCAGCTGGAATAATAAGCTCAGAAAATATATTACAACCAAGCCCAAGAATTTATAATTGTATCCATAAATTCAGTGAGTTGAAAGAAGAAAAAGAAAAATGAATGGATAAGAAATAGAAGAAAGTCATTGTCATGAGAGAGCTGCACTGAAATTCATAGTGACTGAAAACCAACCAGAGGGCAAAATAGTCATTAACGTGGTAACAGCGATGGACTTATTTTAAAATACCAAGTGTCCCATGCCACTACTCATACCCTTGATGCATGGGATTCATAGTCCCAATATATTAGGAATCTGGTACTATATTTTGTAAACAAAAAATGATACTAGTAAATTCTAACTCACTATAAGTCCAATCTTACCTCTTGTAGAGGGTCAAAAATTAAAGTCAAAATTAAGTATGGACCTAAGGGCAAAGGTCGGCCCTATTAGGTGACAAATAATGATTAAAGAAGTATGGGCTAAAGTCCAAGGAAAGTGAGTCAACAGTGAACCAAAACAGGTCTGACCCGCTAAAGGTTTTACAAGCTCCATGAAGACAAATGTCTAAGTCAAGTTATGGAGACAGCACTTGCAGCGGTCAAGTTGCTGAGGCAGTTCGTCTCAGCGCCGCCATTTCCAATATTGTCGGCGCCGTCATTTCAAATATTGTCAGCGCCGCCATTTAAAGTAACTGACGGAAAGAGAAAATCGGAGCAACTAAGTTGTAAAGGCAGCACTTGTAGCGACCACGTTGTGGAGGTACTTTGTTGGCGCCGGTATCTCTAGTATTGTCGACGCCGCCATTTGAATTTGCTATGGAAAATAGCTGCCTGTAGACACCCCATTTTTGACCGTCCTCAAGACTTGGACGTCATCGTTTGAACACTCGGTGATCATTCATGTTTGTGTTCGTCTTGAGTTCCCGGAGGTCTCGGCTCGCGCGCCTTGCCTCAGGATCTCTCGACTCGACTGTTTAATGTCTGGTTTTACACCAAACACTTGTGTTATGCCTTGGAGGGGCAGGGAATGCCTTGTGAGGCATCCTCACACATCACCGGCCATGGCCAGAGGCAACCAGCTGGTGTTTTGTTGCCATCGGCAATGTATATTGCCGGTCGGCATTCTTTGTTGCCGGTCGGCAGTCCATTTTGCCAAAATGGCAATTTTAAGCAGCCGACTACTGTTCATTTGCTTTTGCAGATATTTTAATACAGCTGTATGGCAATTTGTTCCCCTCCATACACGTGTATGGAGGGATGGCTACCTTGTTAGCTTCTTGAGTAAGCTTTACAAGATTGGCTCCTCTATAAGAGGAGCCCTCCCCTCTTGGCTTTAGGTTAGACATTTTTAGAGAGAAAAGTTGTGTGAGAGCTCTGGTTTTAGGTCTAAGGTTCCATACAAATTCTATCTCTATACCTCTCTCTCATTTGGCCTTTGTGTGTGTCTAGGTGTGTTTGTGTCTTACTATTGCACACAAACACATAGTGTTACACCTTCCCTTGGATACTGAGGTTCCAAGAGGTTGTTCTTGAAGTTCTTGGGTGGTTTTGAGCTTGAAGAACCAGCTGGTCCACCATTTTTGAAGAAAGGCTACAAGGGTGAGATTTTTGTCTCTTTATTCCCCTTTTTTGCATTGTATTTTTACCCATCTTCGAACTATTTTTGTGCTTAGTGTATAATACAAAAAAGTTCTGTTTTTAGGCCCTCTAAATAGTTTGTTTAGAGTGTTTTGTGGTTTGGAGGAGTTTGACCCCTCCTAGGCCTTGAAAGGCCCAATTTTGTGCTATTTTGAGTGAGCTCCGGGCCCTTGGTGTTTGGGCCTCCTCACCACTAAAATCTTGAGGGATTTCAGAGGTGAGGATGGTGCCTTGAGGTCCTAGGGAGGAGAGGGCCACCCCCTCTCCTTGTTGTCCTTGAAAAGAACCATTTTTGCCTCCTGAGGGAGCATCTAGCTTAGGCTCTTGTTGACCATGCCTTAGCTAATTTTT